CTGGTCTAAGTCAGGGCACAGCCGGCTAACTCACAAATTGAATTCAAACTGCATGATTTAGCGCGTTAGGTTTTGTGGAGGGAAGAAATCTGGAGAACCTGAAGAAAAGCCCTCAGATCAAGGAAGAAGGAAGAGACCTAACAAACTCTACTCACATGTGATGGCTAAGTATTCCACAGAATAATACTATTTTATGTTGTCACTTTGACTTTGTTACTTACATAAAGTTTGTAGTGTCGTCTTCCAAAAAATACCATGCCTCTCGCATCTAACTGTATCTCAGGACATTTCGAATACCAATAATAACCATACTCAGTATCCCGTTTGTCATTAGCATTGGTTCCATACGGGTACATGATTGGATCAGGCCCTGGTGGTGTCGTGGTCGGCGCTAGTGAAGATATATCAAGAATTATAAGCAATTATGATTCAGCATTATTTTCAGATTTCTTACAATAGAGCGTTTTCACGTGACGTCACAGCGGCCATTAAGGGGTACCAAAACAATACTGTTTTCCCCAACTCAGACCACGAGTCATTCCCTGAAGTATCATTTCTTTGTTTAACGGTTGCGCACATGAGTAGACCCATAAATCTTGGATACAACTCAAACGAAGAATCTTATTCTCAAGAGAATGGCACATGATCTGAAATGGGAAAATGTTGGCCTAGATGGATTAGGTCCATTATGATGGGAGTGAGAAAAGTAAAATTCGAAGGTCGTCATGTTCAGTGGTCGATAAGAGGCTACTTGATTGACTCTAAGTAGTATACAAAAATCATACTACTTTCTTACTTTCAAACACGATGGCAAAGTCGCTACGCTACTGATGTTACTTCTAAAGTCTTACCTGCGGTAGTAGCTTCTGTTGTCGACTCCGTGGGTTTGGTAGTTGCTGTGTTTTAAAAGAATAGATGAAAAGTACGAGAAGCTGATTGGTGGCTCGCACACGACAAAAGAGGCCAAATTTTTTCTCGTCAAGAAGTCAAACAAAATGGCGGTTATGACGTCACAACCAATACGTTTTCATGTAAGTATATAAACACGATTTAATTATTTTCTCATGATAAGATATTCTTCATTTTGACTCCAAATACAAAAACCAATATCAATGTTTATAGTTCATAGCCTTACCTGTCGTAGTAGCACTCCCGTAGGGAGGTTGTGTTGCTGTGTTTAAGAAACACATGAAAAGTAAGAGAAGCTTTAAGTTAATCTAAGAGAACTTTTGTCAAATTTTGTGAACATCCCCCTGAGTCCTYGCAACAATAAACTCCTTCCTAGAGTATTAATGTTCGGTAATAAGGGCGCGGAGTCGTGCCGGTAAGATATCGCAACATAGTTTTGATACTTTATGCAACAAAAAAATGCACCTCAATTTCGAGGACATAACAATAGGTTTCCAATTCATATCATATGTGATTGAAATTCTTTTGTTTTGTGCTCCAAATTGAACTCTTTTGACGTCACAAGGAAAGGGGTGTGTCTACAAGCAATGTATTGACTTCACATGCAAGGGGTGTGTCTACAAGCAATGTATTCGCTCTGCAACATTGTTGCGTGGCATGTTGCACAAAAAGCGGACCCTAAACATCCTC